ATACGTTTAACACTAGAGCGGTTTAATGACCAATGCGTTGAACCCAGCTGAGTCACAGGCATCCACACAGCTCCAATTTCCTCTCAAACAAAAAAAAAAACACTCGCCTCGTCGACGATGTACGGGTCGTAGAAGAAGGGTTCCTCTCCGAGAAGCGACTTGAGGTCGCACTCGAAGGTCTCCGTCATGCTGTGCCCGAACTTTAGGTACTTCGAGCTTCGGCTCTGACCTCCTCCCGCAGAGGTGTCCGGCGCGCCCACCCCGCAATAGTACGGCTGTTTCCCACGAGAAACACAGCAAGCAGTCGTGATAATAACGTGATCGGTCTTCAATCAACGGCCCCATACTTCTTTTCTTCTACAGTGACAAGGAAGGCGTATCCCAATAATATATGCGACGGAATACGACAAACTCTGCCTCGCGCCGCCTTCGGAAAATCGGCTGCTCGCCTAACTGCAGGACCCCCCAATCATTGTCCCGCAATGTATGGCCCTAACCTGGGTAGACATTTCTTCCATGCCAAGCCACGTGCCGTCTAGGGAGTACTTGGCAAGGATTATCCTCATCTCGCTGGCGAACGTTAGCTGCATCTCGATGTTTGTGCCGTCTCGAACGTCGGAAGCCTCTTCGGTGTAGGTCAGCCACGGTAGGGTCACCCCCCACCCCGTCTGAGATCAAACCGCACACGACAACACGCAGAATGACGCACGTCGCAGCACAGGACATAAAATAGCACCTCACACCCCAGAGTGGTCGTGGAATAGTCCGAGAACAGCTGCGCACAGTCATGCGCATTTATCTCAAAAGACTGTCAGAAGTTCTTCCTTACACGTCCCCCCCCCCTTCAACCAAGCCCAAACCAACGCCCGACACATACAATGAGGACGGCTTAACGCACGCACAGCTGCTCCCCATCAACTTCAGAACTCGGTGAGTCTTTGGGAAAACGGCGAGAAAATCTCCGTATCGATCCCCTTCCGCAACAATCATCCGAGTGCCTATTCAGCCGCCACACCCACCTGGCCGTGGTTGTTCCCGAGGCGATTGTTCAGCACCGCGGAGAACAGCGAGCAGGCCATGGACGAAGGGTCGTGCAGCTGTAGCGCGCAGAGGTTGCCCAAGCTCTGCGTGCGTGCGTGCGTGCGTGCGTACGTGCGTACGTGCGGCGCGGTTCGATGCCATGTTGAGCGTTGTTGCGGCGTGGTTTTGGCAGGACTCGACAGAAAAGCAAGGCGGGGTTAGTGAAAGGGAAGCGGAAATTACTGTTTTTTCTCGGTCGTTAGAAGCTGCAGGTTGTTGTCGACACGTTTCAAAAGTGTATCATAGTGCGTACGTCCTAGTGCAATTGTTGCAATGGAGGGGAGGGGTGGTGGGCACAGTATTTGGTGGGCACTCTACAGTACTCGTCAAGGTCGCTCCCCTTGTTGTTCGGCTTCAATGACCGCCATTAAAAGTCAAACGTTCCCGCGAGATGCATCTCTCAGACAATTTCAACGTTTCCGTACGCTTCAATTACACTTGAAGATATTGAAAAAGTGCTAGAATATTGGATCGCCACAATTTGGTTTCGAAACAGCCAACCTGGCAGGCCTGCAGACCGTCTCCACCGGGTCCGGTGTAGCTGTAGCAGCTGGCGCCTGCCCAGGTGAAGAGGTGCTCCAGGGTGAGTGACGTTAGGGTCTCCGACGGGGGGGTGGTCGACTGCACCGCAGTAATGAGACTGAGAAGCAATTACAAGGTACCACATAGGGAAACATACATCGGAACGTGGGGAGACAATTTGGTCGTACTGGGATACACTCATGAAGGTGCCCTTTCGGATGGGTGAAATCAAAGGTATCGTAGCAATGCCCTTAGAGCCGACCGACGCGATCATGCTCACGAGATAAGTATGAGAAACACAAGCAGATTCCACACAATACAACGGGTGTCATCAGCAAATGGACCGGGAGAACAACAACTGCGTCAATTCTTCATGGAATGCGCCACTGTTGTAGCGCCGCTACAAGGGCGCGTCAGTATTGACGGGGCTCAGAATTCCCAATGACAGATTCCTCAGTCACACCCATGCGGCGACGCTGGAACAAAGCGACGTTGTCACAACAAGGAGGGAAAACAAAAAAGGTAATGATTCTCCGTCTACTTACGTAGTGTTTCGTGTGTTCATGGAGTACTATAAAGTGCCTCATGCAAATCTGTTTTTCCTCACCAACGGCGGGCGCTGATACATATTTTCAATCGCTGTCCAGGTCACCCCCCCTAGGCGCGTACGATGGTGTTTCTCACGATTGAATTATATTAGGCCGTGCGGAGCCAAAATTCCATGAAGCACTGGTGTGCGTTATCCTCGGGTTCGCTATACGCAATGCGAACGCCGCCTCGGTCCCAAACGGTAGCGGACGTCGGACCCCATAGCCCAACTGCGCGCGATAAGCAAGCACAGTTAAGTTTCCGACAAGCCGCTACAAATGTGGTACCCACTGCAAGTGCATTGAACGAGATCAAAGCGTGGCGTCGTATGTAAGAGTTCTCCGCTGTGATGGTTTTCCCTTCACCTTCGGTAGGTCACGGTAGACGCGCTCGATCCCCTCCAGGCCGCGATGGCGGTGACGTGGGACGTCACGACGCACCGAAGCGGCCCCAGTGCCGATGCTCCCACGATTGTGTACCTTCGCAAACGAAGCGACGCAGGTGGTGGGTCAAGCGCTTTGGGACAGGCTCGCCGTAGCGTGCTTTTCAGCGGTCAACCGGTGCCTGGCTCACCCCTAGTGCTGCTCAACTGTTGGGACAAGTATGTCACGTACAGTAGACAGTAGTGGTACCCATATGCCACGGTGGTAAGTCCATAGGCGGGTTTGCCCCCTTGAGCGCCAAAAGCATCATTTCTTTTCAACACTTCCGAGTGGGATAAGCCAAAAGTGTGACGATCGCCTGACACCTCATTGAAACACCTGGCCGCAATTGCTACCCCCTCGCCTTGGTCATGCCGTTATTTGCGTTCCTGCTGCCAAGCTCGGAGAAAACTGTGGCTTGATATTCGGGAAACTCACCCATCATTGCAAGAGCATTGGCCATCTAACCCGAAGGACATATTGTCGTCGGGGCAGGCTTGGCACGACAAGGGATCGGCGGCGTAGGACACCCCCGCTTCTGTTAATGCTTCTTCGAAGACGAAAGTCCCTGCTGCGCACGACTGACAGGCCTTCTCGGCCAGGTAGTCGCCACCCTGGTCAGTCTCCAGGAGAACCTCGGTGAAACCGTCTGCATCTGCGGCAAGGGGATTGCGTCATCCGCTGGTATCGAAACCAATTTCACAACCATTCCGAATGGTTGGGAAAGCGACTTCCACGGTGCCCACAGATGATTGGCTACGCTTGTATAATAGCAGACCGACCAACATAGATAGACGCATTTCCTGTCACCTTAGACTACAACGCTAGCACTATTCGAGGACCGACATGCGGTTATGGCTCGACGTGAAATCAAATTCTATGAAAATGCGTCCGTCGTGTCATGGCTTTGATGCCCTCACCATCGAGGCAGGCGCACTCGGTCCCTCCGTCCTGAAGCCCGGCCGTGCTCGATCCACAGGCCACGCATGCAGAACCGTCGGAAAGTGCCGCTTGAGAGGATTCCGTGCACGAGGTGCACACAAAGCCTGCCGCACAAACAAAATTCCAAGAGCTATGATGAGCTGAGGGTGCGCTAGTCCGCAACGGGTTCGCATGCCCTTTCACACAAGAGATGATCTGATTTGCTGGTGTGGGAGGTTGAGTGTGACAGAAGGGCTATCGCCTAACGAAACACCGCCCTTTCCCGTCAGCCTGTCTCCTCGTGTATGAATCCATGAGGAATGTCCACGCTTTTTTTCCTTTCAAATGTGCATTCCCCGTCCTCACGCGAATACTGCTGTAAAATTTTTCCGTGTACGTGTACAACAGCAGTAGTCTGACACGAGCAAGTACGCAACGCCAGCTAGCTGCGACCAAGCTCCTTGGTTCGAAAACGGTCGCCTTACCGGAGCAGGCTCCTGACTGCAGAGCACCGGTAGAGCACGTGGATATCTCGATGATGAACCCATCGGCACACGTGCAGGCAACGGCGTTGCCGTACACATCCAGGCTAGACACATCGGGCACCTTGTTGCCGTTGTTTCCAGTCCCATCGCTGTGTGATTCGGAAATACATGTATCACCCAAATATGCACGCATTGTAGTCAGCAGTTGATGGCAGCGCATGTAAGGGACGGGTAGATCAAGCTGGGTAGATTGCTACAACGACATTGTGGTTGGCGAGCTGTCTGCTAAAGATATCTGCTATAGATACTGAACTTTATCACAATGCAGCTGTCACGGGTGAGTTTGCGCGAGCCAACCGCCACCACGGCCTGTGTTCACAAAGATACAGCCGACCCGTCCAACAAGATCGGGATGGAGACTTCCAAAATCCTCTACACACAGGGGAGCGAGCTACACCCACCACTATCGGGCCTCGACTCCCAAACCCCCCGTCATCTTGAGAGTAAGCATACAATCCACCGAACAAAGGACGTTCGAATACGGCTGCTTCGGTGCACACCTGTCATCGTCACAACGGACGCACTCCAAGCTGCTGATATCCAGATACTCATGGTCCGTTAGCGAGCACGATACGGTTGATCCCACCTCTATCCCGCGTACAATCCCAGGAATTGCTGCCAAGACAGCGAACAGGAGAAGAAACATTGACTGGCGTCCTCGCCCACTCGCCTTCATGCTGACAAGCACACACCGAGAGAGTTCCTCCTCATTTGAGCCTCTGCCTCCCCTGCCTGCCTGTCCCTCGGCCGCTGCCGCGGAGGAAAGAAGGCAGTTGCGAATCTTTGTGTCGCCCCCCCACGAACCCTACAATATTCCGCGTCGCCCCCTCTCCTTCGCTCCTTCGCTTGCCTCCTGCGCAATTGTGTTTCCGGTGTTCCACAGTCCTCGTCCACAGCTGAACGCTCACGGTTTCGGCACACAATGGCGGAAGAGCAGGATGATGCATCGAGCAAGGGATGGGGCTGGTTACGGCAGGTGAAGATCCCCCCAAAGCGAGAAAGAATGCCTGCGACTGGGAACTATTTGTAGAGGAGAAAACCCCCTTTTTTGGTGACGACAGAACAACCCGCTCGGTGAGCGTCACCGACCGACTGTGGGCTTCATGATAGGGGCAAGCCGGGCCTTCCCTAGTGAGGAACCTCTTTGTTGCATTGTTATTCTCGCAACGGTATCGACAGCACGAGCCTGGTATCTACGAATGCTTTATCTCTTCTGAAGCACATACTTTTCGGACTCAGTAAAATTTGTTCAGAGTTTGACCGCAATTCCGCGGAGCCCCATAATCAACCCGCATGCTCACCCGACTAACGTAGCTACCCATCTCAAGGCCTCCCCCGGTCGTAAACTCCTCGAGGGCGATTCGTGCGGATGGTTCTTGGCACGCAATGGGCCACGAAGGCCGGTTCAGCACTCATTAACAACAATATTGGTACTTGGCAATATTCAGCAGTACATACTTGCCAGAACGTACCTCACCGTACTCCTGGCGCCCCCGCACTACTTCTGGTGTGTGTTGAACTACAACTGCTGTGACGCGGGCAAGTGGGGAGGGACCTCGAGCACGTACGCAGGTGCCTAGCGCTCGTTCCATGGCGTTGTTCAGCACGTAGCCTTGCACGGCGGGTAAAGCGCAACGGAGGCTGCGGAGAAACTTATTGTGGAACAAACACACGGTTTGCTATCGCGAAAGCCGCTCAGCATTTGACACTAATAAAAGGGGCAGTTGCCAACGGCATGCATTCAGATAAGGACACACACCATTGCCTCGCGCCTAAACCGTCTCTTGGTTGCTAGTGGACAGGGCACTAAGAGAAGGTTAGGTCAGCACGTATGCACACGTCGCTTTGATGTATCCTCGTAGGTTTTTGGTTCCAAGACGGTGCGCGCGAAAGGCTTAGGCTTACGTGAGGGGGGCCGTTCGGGTCTTGCCGGGAATTGGGTCTCTGAGTCTAACGAAACTGACGAAGTGCCTCGGGGCAAAATCGCTCTTTGTGGAAAAACGGCGCTTTTTTAATGTTTTTTCAGGACAACGGCGTATGTATCCTGAAATCACAAACCCGGGAGGCTGTTCATTCCGCCCTGTATTCTATAAATTCCGCCGCATTTTTTGAGAACCCCACGATGTGCCTCAAGCCTGCAGCTTTGTCACGGCCAATGTACGCTCATTCGAAAGCTCTTGGAATCAGCTGGATTTTGTTCCGTGAATCGATGGTGTTCCCGACATCTTTTTTTTTTTGTGTACGGGACCCTTGACCTATACACACCACCGTGTACGCCTAAAACGCTCAGGTTCAGAGCACGACGCAGCAGTTGGGGCAGATCTGCACGGAGGGAGTCGGAGAGGCGAAGAGGAGGCTGGAAGAGAATCGTCCCGGTATCGACCAGTTCGTGAAGAACATCGGAGACAACATGCAGCAGGGCGTCAAGAAAGTGCAAGAGGTGCGACCTCTCGCGAACGTGCTGCTTTATTAGCTTACTGTCATGATAAAACGTTGTTGGTCGCTATGTCGATGTGTAGTGGACAAGGGGGAGTGGGCACAACAGAAATCGTCATGGTTGTTCTTGTTTGTGCAAGTAGGCATGCACACATCACCTTTGTACGGTTGGTTTGAACACGGTGATTGCGAAAGACGGTCAGGGGGGCTTTGCTGCATACGTAGGTGTGGAACGACGCTCCCCCCTTCTGTCTCAGAAACAGTAGTAGCTGAGTCACGCGTTCATCAGCTACTTGAGCTACCGCGTACAGTTTCTCCGCTTTGTTGGACGCTGGTTTGAACACGGCGCTCGCGAAAGACGGTCAGGGGGGCTTTGCTGCATAGGTAGGTGTGGAATGGCGCTCCCCCCTTTTCTTCTGTCGCAGAAACAGTCGTAGCTGAGTCACCCGTTCATCAGCTACTTGAGCTACCGCGTAAAGTGTCTCCGCTTGGTTGGACGTTGGTTTGAACACGGTGCTTACGAAAGACGGTCACGGGGGCTTTGCTGCATAGGTAGGTGTGGAACGACGCTCCCCCCTTTTCTTCTGTCGCAGAAACAGTCGTAGCTGAGTCACCCGTTCATCACCTACTTGAGCTACCACGTACAGTGTCTCCGCTTGGTTGGACGTTGCTGGCGCTGTTCGTTGTGTTTGCGTCCGGCGGTTCAAAAACGAATTTTGTTTCGTCCAACCAGACTCTCCCTTGTCGATGGTGGTCGGCTTTTGCGCCCCCCTTCTGTCCCGTTTTTTTTTTTGCGCTAACCATGAATGGTAGTCGAGTAGATTAATGTTGTGCGGGGTCGAGAACCCTCACTCCGCGCAAAGGGGATAATCGGACCACGTTGTGTTAAAATGGTCAAGCACCCTCGAGGCAGTTTCACAGTGCTTACAACTGTCTCTGAAAGCACCAGAAGATAAAGTAAGTCATACGCAGCTGTCATCCGTACGCAAGGAAGTAGGCACAAGTTGCCGAACACCCTTAGCAGGATGCAGCGCACCTTTTATGCGACTCGCCGAATACCTCACGGCGCTTCGCGCTTGGTGATGTGAGAGCCTGGTCCGGTGAGAACCCGGCGTGCTCCGTCCCGGCTTTGTAGGGATGCGAGGTCAATGGTCTANGTATGTTCAATCGTCTGGGGAGGGTAGCAGCAACCGGGGCTTGACCAGTTAGTGCGAAACATCGGGGACAATGTCCAAAAGGGGGTGAAAAACATTCAAGAGGTGGGTCGGTCGATGGGTAGGTTCCTTTCCCCCCCGTTTTGCGAAACGCAAGCACTTCGTCTGTTTTCGGTGTCGTTCTTCAGTTTTTTTTGTTTCCTGTTTGGTAAACTACTCGTAGATCTAGCTACCTATTGGGTAGCGGGTACCCGATTTCGTCGAACGATATCTTGTACTTGTTGTTCTCGCTATCATTTGGTTGGTTGGTGTAGAAGTTGCGATGCCCGTTCCTGTTGTTGTTAGTTCCTCGTTCGAGACTCGTCATCCTCAATTTCGTTTGGCGAAAAGAGTAAAAGCACACAGGTACGTTTTCAGCAACACTCAGGCACCCGCGCAACAATATTTGCACTACGCGTACGTACAAGGTCGGGGATGGCGAAGCTAAAGTTTATTTGCGGTTCCCTTGTTCTTGTTCGTGGCTTTTCGTTACTGCGTCAATGTATCCTTGTTTTTCAATCTCCCGTTTTGCCTTCGCGTCCGCCTTCCTCTCGTGCCCGCCGCACAGAACCTCGTTCGAGACCCTTGGTCCTCCCCTCCCACCGCCGCCGAGCTGGCGTCCCTAGACCTTGTCTACGTCAACGACCGCGTCATCGCCATGGGCTTTCCGGTAGACAAACGCCCCCCCTCCGCCGCGCCCGGTGTGGAAGGTCCATCTCCTCCTCCCCGAGCGAGTGTAACGACGAGGGCGGGAAACGACATCGATCTTGTGGCGGCGCTGTTGAGGAGCCGCCACGCGGGTCACTACATGGTCTGGAATGTGTCGGAAGAGGGCTACGATTACTCGTTGTTCCAGGACCAGGTTAGTGAATAGTTGTTTTTTTTTGCTTGCTGTGAAGGTGAAATGGTTTCTCGCTCTGTGTCTTTCTTGTTTTGAAGGTGCCTTGTTTTTGTTTCTCTCTCGGATTTACCTTTGCTTTTTCGATACACAAAAGTCGAGTCGTAGGGAAGGTACGGCGGCTTGTTTCCCATCTTCTCTCGGACTTACCCTGCCAAAATGTGCAACTCCCTTTAGCCGGATATATTATGTCAGCACCCCCCCCCCCCCCTCATCGA